TAGTACATCGCTTTGGCCGAAGAGATAAGCAAGGTACCCGCCGGTGATGAAGCTAGTGCATTGTATTCATGTTACACCAACGATGTGGCAGGGACGTCGGTGAAGCTGTAGGACGCATTGCCCTTGTGTTTCGAGGCATATGTGGTTGGACTTGAGCGTGCCATGTTGGAAGCAAGCCCCCCAATCATGGTACTTGCATCAAGTGGGCACCTTGGTTGCGTACCGTAATGTCGCAGAGCTGCCGGGGCTTGAGCCAATGGGTTGCTTGAACGCGACACAGATCCAAGTGCGAAGGGTGTCGATGGACTTGGCAATATGGCCCGTGATGGATCGCCGGGTTGGTTTGGTGGAAGCGCATGCGACAAATGCATCGAGTTGAGAGGCAGTCCCATCGCATTGCTCACGCGATGTCGATTGCTTCCGACTGCAATTGGACCAAATTGCGTCTGAGTGCCTCGAAGTGGCATGAGACCCTCAAAAAGGCCTGCGCTGGCACGCCGTGCGAGATGGTGCAGTGGCTCTGGACTTGTGCTGGACCGGACCATGCTCGCTGAAGTCGTTGACATCAAGTGCATCGTTTCGGACAGCAACATCCGCTCAAGCGCCTCAGAGCCCGCTGTCGCTGACGAGTTTCGGCGACTTAGCCCCGAGTCCTCGGCCTGTCCAGATGGGACGACTTCAACCACCGGAGAGCAGGCTTGGTCATCGCGTTGAAAATCGCACGACGACGGTAGCGGAGGTCCAGTAGTCGCGAGGATCGCTAATGGCGTTGTTGTCTTCGCGCATGTAGCAGCGTCCAATTGTTGCACGAGTGACTCCGTGTAGGTCGTCAACGTCTTCAGCTCGCAGCGCAAATCATTGCTGACAGTCACCTGGTTCTGAAGCCGAATTTCAAGCGCTGCGCTTTTCTGCTCCAGCCGCTGATTTTCCCGTGTAAGCACAGCAACCGCATCCGTGAGTCGTGCGACCTCAGCCGCAAGATCCGTGGAGTTCGAGCCGCTTTGGTGACTCTGAAGTTGCTTGAGCTCGTGAAGAAGCTCACTGTTGGTTGTAAGCATCTCAACGAGGAGCGACCGGTGCTTTGAAGACTCTATCACGAGTTCTTGCATGATCTTCCCCATCGCCGCCTCTGACGGGGCATCGCGAGCTGGCGCTCCATAAGCTACGTATATACCGATACAGTGAATCTTGTGGGCCGTAGTGAATCTGAAGATCGAGCACACACCTTTGAGATTTGTCTCCTTGGTCGCACTGGAGGGCTCCATGGACATCGATGTCATAGTGGTCGAGACTTGCGCCAACGGTGTATCTTTTGCAATACTGTCTTCAGTCACTTCACCTTTGGCTTGCACTCTGAAGTGGACCTTGGGCTCTGCTCTGGCCATGTCTTTGGACTCTGCTGGCCCACAGGGTTGGTCTTTGTCGCCGTAGGACATCATGGCAGACGGCAACTCCGACGCTGGTGACGTTGGCACGAGATCAATGATGGTAAACCGACCTTTCTGCTCCATCTTGCCGGGGCGCGTCCGGCCTGTGTCAAGTATCCTTCGTGGCACGTCGACGTTGGTTGACGTTGGCTCCTCGGCATTGCGCGGGCTAAACAGAAGCTCCGGGTCCTCTGGTGCGTCGGTCACAACAAAGCGGTGTAGAGGCTTCCGTCGCTCAGCGACACCGGCACTGCGGCTCTTCAATGGCAAGGCGACACCGACCGTCGGAACCACTGCATGGGACTCGACGCGGCGCATTTGCGTTTTTGTGCCCTCGTTTTACTCCAACAATTTCATTGGCAGAAATATAGCCAATCGTGAGCATGCGTTCCTCATCCCGGCAGCGCGAGGTTTTGTTCTTTGTGCCACAACTGTTAGAGCTTGGGGGACGACGCACGGGAGGATTGTTATGCTTCATTCTTCCATTCGTGGTCAAGGCGCGTGTCCCAGGCTCAAGTTTGCTTAGAGTGAATCAAACACAATCGTCCTGTGCGCCATCCCTAAGCTTCTCCTGTACTATACAATTGTATGGTGCACGCATTTCACCCTGGTCCCAACAAAATCGCCGAATTTTGCCCATGAAAGTAAAATCGACTCCGGGATGCGCCGATGGCTCTCGTACACTCTCTCGTACTTCTTGTGCTCAAACTTGGTTAGCTTGTAGTCGTAGCTGTAGGAGTGAATGAAGCATAGGCGAAAGAACTTGCGAATTGAAGTGAGGGGACGTTGTGGAGGCTTCTGAGGACGCACGCTTGAAGGCCTATGAACTAGTAGTCGCAGTGAAATCGGGTGAAGCGCTTGGCCGCTCGCCAACATGGCTCGATTGGGTTCAACTCGCTGGGTTCAACAAAGCATTCCCGTCAATACGCAAGGCATCTCTTTGCACACAAAAAGCGGGTTGTGCGAGGAGACTTGTTGGCGCAGTAGTTCTCGGAAAAGGAGCAAACAAATGTGACCCACGGCTTTAATCCTCTCTTCCAGAATTGACTTCTGCGCGAGAAAGTCTGGGTGTAAGGCGAAGCAGTGACGGGCGCAGCACTCGAGAATATTGCCAAAGTTGACATCGACGTCCGAAGCCGCACACTTCAACTTGAACTTACTCGCGACCAGTAGATGCCACGCTAGCTTGGCGAGCACTTGCTTCAAATTTCGAGCTCCATCATGGGACAAGGGCGATGTCAATAGCGGCATTATCAACCTTGACGAGTCGGTTGTTGGCTCTCGAAATTGCGCAGGCGAATTTGCCGCGCTTGATTTGCCGCGACTTCGTTATCCCCCACGGTGCTATTAAGTACTCGTAGTTCAAAAGCCCATTAACGTCTGCCAGGTATATTCTTGCTGCAGCGAATGTGGGCAAAATGATGGAGCCAAGCGTTTTCGCCAAGTAAAAATAATCCGCCTACCAGTATCTGGTACATATATATAGGCACTTGAACACAAAACTCATTCACAGCACTCCAGAAACGACCAACGATGTCCAAAGCCAACGCTACGACGACTGGTCGCATCATTCTACCCCTTGATCTTCTCAACATGGCCAAGTACTACAATGTCAACCTTTCTGAGACGCCCGAACTCCTGCCCCTTATAAAGCAAGCTGTCGAGACGCCATTGCCGCCGAACTGGATCGAGATCGACGACACGGCAGACGAAGACGAACGCTCAGATACCGTCCCGTATGCAGGCGCACCGCTCTATATGAACGAGCTCAGTGGAGTTGTTCAGCGTGAGCACCCTGCAGATGAGTACTTCCGCAATCAGATTCATGCTCACCGACGCAATGACGGACTGCGTGCCGGCGCCAGCGCATGGCTCGAGTTCCGTCGAGACAACAACGAGAGCTATTTCTACGACTTCACCACGAACACGCAGCAAGAAGAATTCCCGTTGGCAGGCCTCGTGCCGAACGCACCGCACATTCAAATTCCCAAAGAGGTGTTTGAACGCGCCGCCGATATCCACCGCCAGCCAAAGTCCAAATTGTACCCTTTCGCATCTTCACATTTGTCTGGTGTGACCTTGATTTGCGTAGCATCGACCAACTCGACATTCTTTGCTTCCATGCGTGGTGGCACGAGACGCGTGACGGCGCGCCAGAGAAGCGCTGTGCCGATATTTACTTTTCCATTCGCACCAAACACTTCCAGGTAGAGGGATCCTTTCCACAGTCTCTATTTCACATGATATTTTAGTTTGTCCTCGGTAACTCAGAGCACGTGTACACAATCTCGCACATCAATGGCCGCGACGGCAAGCCGCTAGAGGCATGGGATCTCCACATCGGAGCCAAAATTACAATTCTTGGCCGCCCAACAAGCCTTATGAAGGTACACACACCATGGCACAGTTCTAGTTCAAATACGGTGATTGATCATGCACGTATATCCAGGCCAGCATGCTGACGCTTCAGTGGCTGGAGACCCAAGAGAAGCAACTGCGCGCAATTCAGGTGGGATAATCAATTGAGACTTATCGCTGGTACTTAACTGTGTTACGTACTAGGAAAAACTTAGTACAGAGCTCAAGAAATACAACCCGCGCCATTGCGACACCAAATACAAACCCCCGATCGAAAGCCCCGAAATTCGTCTCGCACTGGTACGGAGAATAATGTACAGTGCCGCATTATGTACAATGAGTACCCACGTAGTCGAGTCCTTGCTTGCGTGCGCTTCGCGACGACGTTGTGTACCTTCGCGAGAGCTTGGCCAAGTTCCGGCCCGACCTCGCCGGTAGCCTAACCAAGTCGCTCCACCTTCCTGCATGATGGAATAATAAAAACCATGATAATAAGAAACAGCTATGTGCACAATGAATGCTTTAGGCGCAAGATTTATAGCACTAGATTACTGAATCTGGAGCACCTCGATTTCGAAGACGAGCACCGAGTCGGGTTGAATGCCCCACGCAGGGAAACCACGGGCACCGTAAGCGTAGTCAGGCGAGCACGTCAAGCGCGCGACCTCGCCCAAGGCCATACCGAGGACACCTTCATCCCAGCCACGGATGACGCTGCCCATGCCGACCTGAAACGTGAATGGCTGCTGGCCGGCGTCCTTGGTGCTCCAGAACTTCTGGCTCAGGTCGCGGTCTTTGCCGTAGCCGGTGCAATGCACGGTGACCGTCGCGCCCTTCGTCGGCGTGGGGCCATGGCCAGCCTTGATGATTTCCTTTGTCACGCCCATCGGGTTCACTGCCGTCTCGATGTGGTAGAAATAGGCAATGGCGGCTACGTATGCGAGCACGACGACCGCAATCGCGCCCTGCCACCTGCCTTGCATCTTGCCCTCTCGCTGCGATTGGTCGCAGATATTTGGTCATGTCGTTGATTGGCTCAATCTCCTTTTTTCCCTAGCCCTGTATCAGTTGACTAACCGCACGCCAACTAGCATGGGCGATCTCCGGCACCGTGCCGTGCGCTTGCCATCGCACCAAGTCCATGAGGCCGCGACAGCACCGACACATCGGCGGAGCATCAGTTTGGCCTTGCTTACGCTTCTCATCGTCGGCGTCTCCCTGCACGTCATCGTGACGGGCAAACTCCCGCTGCCCGATCACATCCAGGAGCGGCTTGGCATCGATTCGATGCCGCTCCACCTGCGTCAGTATATCAAGCGCTGCAGCAAAGACCATCACGACATAGCATCGAGCAGCCACGATACCACTTTCTTGCGTCCAAGCACCAATGTCGATCAAGTGCGCGTGGTGAACGCGACACGATGGGCGTGGCAGGCGTACCGCGACCACGCCTACGGGCACGACGTTTTCGACTCGCGGTCCAAGTCTGGACATGCGTGGAACGAGCACAACCTCGGAATTACCCTTATTGACGCGCTTGATACGCTCTACATCATGGGCATGCGCACAGAGTTTGATGAAAGCGTGCGTTGGGTCCGAGACGTCTTTCCGTCCAAGCTCGCTCATGGTGGCACAGTCAGTGTCTTTGAGACAACAATTCGCGTTCTCGGCGGACTCTTGTCAGCTTATCATCTCTCAGGTACTCTGCTGTCCATGTACTAGGATTATTGCGAGCACGGCGTAGGCCAACATGAACTACTTTCTGCGGCCGATGCCCTCGGACAGCGACTAAGCCACGCATTTACACAGACACCGTCGGGGTTTCCACACCCATTGTTGACGCTCTTCGTACGTTTTTTATCTATTTTGCAAAATCGTCACCGAATGCACATAGAACGGGAAGAGCGGAGCAGTGGTTGCTACAACGCTCGCCGAAGTAGGCACGCTTCAGCTCGAGTTCCAGTACTTGACACAACTCACTTGCAACCAAAAGTACCGCAAAGCGGTGGACGTTGTCATGGATCAAGTTCGCATCGTTGTCTTTTCTTCAAAATTCTCCTGATCTCCATTGTAGTTGCTCTACGAAATGACGAACCGCTTCCCAGACGGACTGGTGCCTGTTGGCGTCGACTCTGAGTGGGGCGGGTACGTCCTATGCTTGCATGATCTACGTCCCATGATGGCACGTGACGCAGGGTTCACGAAGAAAGCGACATTTCGTTCGGCGCCGATGGTGACAGCTATTATGAGTACCTCCTCAAGCAGTGGCTTTTCACTGACAAGCAAGACGACCGTTTTAAAGATGCTTACGAGACCTCGATCTCTTCGATGCGGACGGAGCTTATCCGCACGGCCAAAGGCCCCGGAAAGCTTACAATCCTTGGCAGCTCGGTGCTACGTGCTGATAACACGCGGTCGTTCCATGCCAAGATGGACCACCTCTCGTGTTTTGTGCCAGGTATGCTAGCTCTCGGCGCCCTACACGGTATGCCATCCTGGCACCATGACCTCGCCAAGGACCTCATGCGCACGTGCTACATGGTACCCTCCGCATTATGGCCGCTTGCATCTCGAGAAGCAAGCACATGTAGATGTACCACGAAACGCCAAGTGGATTCGCACCGGAAGTGGTCTATTTCGACGTCGAAGGCGAAGTGAAGGTCGTGCCCCCGACGCGCCAGCGTTTCAAGCACAATGACCCAAATGCTCGCCCGTACTTTGAAGCACCCGACTTTTTCTGGCCGATTGACGACCCGTCTAATGTCCACGCACTGCGACCCGAGGTCGTCGAAAGCCTCATGCTGCTCTACCACACAACGGGCGACGAAGTGTACCGCGAGTGGGGTCGCGAAATTTTTCAAGCTTTCGAGACACACGCACGTGTACGTCGTTCGTTGCATCTCCTTCTGCGTGCTCACGTGTGTATGGCCAGTTGACGACGGGCGGCTACGCAACAGTCCATCGGCTCCACCTCAAAACGCCCCGTTCTACGCATGGAATCATGGAGAGCTTCTTCCTCGCCGAGACGCTCAAGTACTTTTACTTGCTCTTTGCCGACACGACGGCCGTCCTACCGCTTTTGCAACGCTATGTCATGAACACAGAGGCACACCTCTTTCGTATCACGAGCAGTATGAATTAATACACGGCGGCAGTGACGAGGATCGTCTGGAGCAGCTGCGACGCAATCTCTTGGATCAAAATCTGGTTGTTTTCTTGCGCTAGAGCGTGGATGGTCGGGTGGAGGTTGTACTCGAGGACGAACTGGACCGGCGCGGTATGCGATTCGAAGATGCACTTGAGCATCTTGAGCAGGTTCTTGCGCACAAACGGCTTGGGGTAGCTTAGCCGGTACAGAATCTCCATCACAAAGAGACTCGATCGACCCAGCGCTTGATTGAGACGCACGGAGCGAGAGAGGATCTCGAGAAGCGACTCCAAGAGGTTCTCAAACTGCTGCTCAGCGCTGCGAAAGCAAGTAACTAGCAGCTGAATGTGCGCCGGCGCCAGGAGCATGCTCTCGACATTAACCTATACGTGCAGGCTCATTACATGTCTCATATAAGAAGCCAAACGGCACCGTGTCGTGGACCAGCCACGTTGCGATGGCCTTCATGGCGTCAATTTGCCAAAACTTGTCGCTGAGAAGCGTGAGAAAGAACGTGACACCATCGCAGGCCCTAAGACGACCCGTAAATCATGCAGGGCTAACGAACGAGTGCGCACCAGAGGTGTTCGCGGGCCGTTGCCGACGCATGAGCCATGTCACAGATGATGGGCAGTACAAACTGTTTTAGAGGACTGCGCGTCAGCGTCACGCGCTGCAAGAACGGAATTAAGCCTGCTTGCGCCGCCTAGACGGAAGAATTTGAGGTATACAACGACTCGCATGTCGTACGTGCGTCTGGCGATTGCGGTTGATGCGACAGAGGTAAAACATGGCGTGAAGCACGACGTTTTGAATGTCCTACGCGCTTGGTTCAAGGATGCCTAATGCAATGGCTCGAGACGTACCTTGATCTGGGGAGAGGACTCGTCATGGAGCACGTGCACAAGGGTCGGGATCGTCCCCGCTCGGTCGAGATTCTCAAGCGTGTTGGGTTCCATGCTCAAATTGCGAATACACTTGAGCACTTTGACCATCGCTGTAGCGTACTGCGGCTCGTTCGCAACGTCGTAGCCCGGGTTCAGCGAATAGAGCAGACCTATGCCCTATGTCACGGTGCGATCGAGTAGATTGACTTTGCACCTTCAAGAACGGCCATTTCGCACATGTGCTCCTTCACGACGACGTCGCCTTGCGAAAAGAGAAGCAAAATATCGCAGACTTGGTGCAGCTCGTTCCACGAATATGTGGCTTCGCATGTCAAGCTCTTGCACTCTTGTACGGTTGTCAGAATCATTTGGTTGTAGACAAGGATGAGCCGTCGGAGGAGGCCAACCTTGACGAAGAGTCGGCATGTATCGTTCTTTGGGATCGTCTACACGCCGGCACATATAAACGACATTAGACCGAGCAAATAACGGTACCTGGAGCGTAAAGACACTGACGATGCCCTGAATCGCAATTCGCTGCAGCGCGAGCTCGTGAATGCTCAAAAAGTCTGTGAGCACAGGAAGTCCGCCGCAAGCAATAAACATTTGCAGCGTCAGCGAGCTCGTAGCACAGCTTTGCTGGACAAAGGTGGCGACTTGGATGCGCACAAGAGCTGTCGTGTCCGACGATGGCTGGGCCTACGATGACAATGTTGCTGAAAGTGTATTGAATGAATCGTACCCCGCCGTGGAGCTCGACGAGCTTGACGACGACAGGAATGAGCCCAACGAGCGCAAGATTCTCCAGAAACTTTTTGTTGTCGAGTACGAGCTGTCGACCGCTTATTCAATCGCCCAGTACAAAATAGCTCGTACCATGTTGACGACTTTGAGAACGGCGACGAGAATGCCGCGCTTTTTCATTTCGAGCGCTTCCATGATGTTTGGCATCACACCGGGTTGCGACACGAGCTCTTGGCGCAGGCTTGGGTTCTCTCGGCAAAGGTCGTGCTACGCGCCGATAGTAAGCACTACACTGACAACATTGCCCTACGAGCTGCTGACACGCGTCCAAGATAACGCGGTCCTCCATGCTAGGGTCGAGGAGAGAGAGAAGCTCCACGACGCGGGCCGTCGCCTTGTACGTCGTGTCCCTTGCAGACGTATCGAAAACTATAAGAATCATAAGAATTGGATATGCGTGCCTTCATCACGAATTTGTACATGGGTCGTCGAATGGATTGTCACTAAAGCCATCCATCGTGTTGTCCTACGTGGGGCAACATAGGTTAGAGTAATATTTTCGTGCATCTCAAGAGTACGTACGTCTGGCAGAGAGGAGGAGAGCCGAAGGCGCAAAAAGGCTTGTGCTTCGCTTTCTTTCGTGGCTTCAAGACCGTCTAACGCATCTTCCTTGCCCTCGCGGAACCGGTCGAGCTTGGTTGCATCGGGGTCAAGCGACGGAAGCACCATCGAGCCGTACAACGACTGCGTCTTTTTATCTTCCGTTGCCTCATCGTCGTCATCCCAAAACGGATCCGCGGCATCGTCCGGACCCAGCTGGAAGGCTTGTGGCGTCAGGGCGGAGCCACTTCGCTGACGCGACTCCATGTCACCATGGAGCGCGCGGAGTTGTGCGTCAACGATATCCTTGGGCTTGGACACCACAGTTTTAGATGCTACCGGAAGACGTAGTGGTGCAGCAGGCTCTTCGAGGTCATTGTCCCAGTTCTCGTCGTCTTCATCTTCTTTCATGGACTCGAGCGCTGACTGTGACGAGTCACGCGTGTAGCTGTCATACATACGAATCGTATTGAGCACCGCCGCGCGGTCATCGGTCGATGTCACGTTCTCTTGAACCTCTTGCGTGCTCTAGATCACAGATGAGCAGCATTGTGCTAGAGAGAGGGCTCACCTGCTCGACTTTGTTGCGCGGGATCTGGGAAACCCACGGGTGCAAGAGAAGTTCGTCAGCCGAAAGCCGGAGTCTCGGCTCCTTCATAAAGCACTTCATGATGAAGTCGTGAAGCGCCTAGATAGAGTGTAAACGTAGGGCAGTGCTCAACATCAACCGCACGGGCGAAATGTTTTTGGGTAGGGGCGGATGGTCGTCCTGAACGATGCGAAAAAGCGCAGCCATTGGCGCCAAGTCGAAATACGGTGGCTTTTGCGTCAGGAGCTCAATAATGGTACAGCCAACGCTCCTACATGTCGGTGAGCATAATTCAAAACAAGACTGAGCACCAGATATCGGACGCCGAGGACCACCCGGCCATCTCGATCACTTCGGGGGCCACTGCACATAACCACGCATCGTGTCTGCGATCTCTGGAAATATGAAGACGTACTCCAGTAGGGCGAGCCAACGACCGAGTTGGATTTTTGCGCTTCGTTGAGCTTAATCGCGACGCCAAAGTCAGCGATCTTGACGAGCCCGTCCTTGGTCGTGAGGATGTTGGCACCCTTAACGTCGCGGTGTAGCACGCCCTAATGCATAGTACCGTATGGGGCCCCGAGAAGAGTGCTGAGGTACCTGCGCATGGAGATACGCGAGGCCGCGGAGCACCTGCGTGATGTACATCGCGACAAGCGTCTCGGAGAGCGTGCCGAACTTCTTCATGAACTGTGCGAGGGAGCCATTCTCCATGTACTCGAGGATGATGTAGAGGTAATCGTCCTCCTTGATCGTGTTGTAGTACTTGACGATGTTCTCATGGTGCAGCTTCCGGAGCAGGTTGATCTCGGACTCGATGGCTGCGAGCTCCTCCTTGGCCATGTCGATAAGCGATACCTGCTTGATCGCGACGCTCTTGCCATTGCGCAGGTCCAGCGCGCTGAAGACGGTGCCAAACCCACCCTTCCCGATCTCGAGCCCGAGCTGGTAGTGGCCGCCGACCGTGCGCTCCTTCCTCGTCATACGCAGATATCCGGATGGTACTAGTTAGTCCGTACTCTTCGGTTTAGTCGTTTTTTCTGTCACACGGATTTCTTGCGCATTTTTGGGAAGAGACGACGAATCGAATGACAATATATATATCAGCATTGCACGTCGAGTAAGCTATTTGCTGAATTGTCTTGATGATGCAGATATCACCCCCACGGGCTGAACGAGACGGCCTCCGCTTGGGAGATTTCGTCTGCCTTGGCGTCCTAGCAAAGCGTTCTGTCGAGCTATTTCGATCTGCATGGGCGAATGTACCGCGTGGGCGGATGCGGGTGTAGGTGCATTGAAGGCCTCGACGCACGACTGGAAAAAAGTCATTTGGAGTTGTCGAAATGCATCGAGCTCGACTTGGAAGAGCGTCGGGCGGAGTGCCTCATACTGCGCCATCTTCTTCATAATGGTTCTCGTAGTGATATCCAGTGCCTGCGCCGCTTGCTTGAGCTAAGCAAAAACGACAAGGTGACGCGCGCCGACCAAGCTACGGCATACCTTAGCATCGCGCCGCATAATGTCTTGAGCTTGTTGCTGGCCTCGTGCCTTCTGGAGCTATCTCACGAAATGACACTTGTGGGCGCAACATTTGAAAACACTGAGCTCATTGCGGACCTTTCGGCGGGCCGAGTCGTAGTCGAGTTTGAGGTTTTCGCGCTTGTCCATTTCCCTCTACGTATGCAAGTTATTTAGTAGACCTATATGAACACGATGCTGCTGAGCGAACCTTGAACTCATGAAGGTCCACGAGCATCTTTTGAAGGGACGACGCCATTGCGGTAGACAGAGTCATGTTCTAATACGGCCATGTCGCGAGATGGAACACAGTACGGTAAGCGTAAGTACCGCCAAGTCGCGGGCCTTCGTATCGACGTTTGCCATCGAGATGGCAAAGGTGCCTGTGTCTCCTCCAAGTTGCAACGACGAAGACGAGTGCGTTCGGTTGTTGTCACCCGTCACTGTGCTGCGCACCGAGGCCACGCTGCCACCGAGCGAGTTGCACCCGTGTCCCAGCGCTATATCATAGAGGTTGCAGTGATACCGACCTCGCATGACTTGACCGCGTACCGATGAGATTGGCAGCAAAGCTTTTCATGCTCACGACAAGGGTTTCCACGTCGTTGAGGAGCTCGAGGTGGCGGTCACGCAGAATCTGGTACTCGTGATCGTCTGAGGTTTCGGCTTGGCCGAGCTTTGTAAGCACTTGTTGGATGAGTCGGCGCTTCCCCGTGCGAAAGCTGTCGAGGAGTCCTGTGTGCGTCGCTTCCATGGTCTTCGCGTGGCTTCCGTCGGTGCAATCCTGAAGTGTAACCACCGCTCCGTCGACCTTCTTGTTCTGGATTGGCTGAAACGTGGACGTTTCGTGGCAAGTTGTCCAGGCCCACGACGCTGATTCGCCCAAATTGAACCAACCGTAGTCGCGCATCAAGATCGAATCTTCCGTTTTCGTGCCAATCCATACAAACTTTCAGTCAACTCTGAAGTCTGCCACGGCGACGACCATTTCGCAATTTGCGCAGCTCCCCGGAACACGGCGCAACATGCAGCAATTCCGAGCGCTTCTCACCCTCCTGCTGCTAGCCATGGGAGCCCATGCACTCTGCCACTGCAAGCGAACAAGCCGCAGCCGCTCTATGGTGCATGCGACGCCAACCATCGATACATCATTACTGCCGCCGTCGCTTGACTGGTGTGAGCGTGGTTTCTGCACACCGTCATGGAACCAGCACGTGCCCGCGTACTGTGGTGCTTGCTACCTTCACGGTACACTCTCCGCTGTGCAGGACCGGATCAAGATCCTGCATCACAAGCGCGGGTTCACGGGCCCAGATGTCATGCTCGGGCGTCAGAGCTTCCTTAATTGCGCACCGGGACATGGCTTTTCCGACGGCTGCAACGGCGGCGAGCCGACCGACGTGTACGAATTCATGCGCAACTATGGCCTGCCAGACGAGACGTGCCTGCCGTACAACGCGACGGACCACACCAAATACACATGGACGAACGGAACATGCCCTCCCGAAGGCTATTGCATCGAGTACACGCATCAATGGGGCTTCTAATGCTGACTCGATACGGTAGTTGCATGTATACGAACGAGAGTCCGAGCACGCCAGTGTGCTTCCCTGTGACCAAGGTGATTCGGTACCGGGCTACGTCGTTCGGGTCGTTTGCGGGGGAAGACGCAATGCTTCGGGAGCTTCAGAACGGGCCGATCACATGCGCGATTGCTGCCAACGTCGACTTTACAACAAACTACACGCGCGGCGTGTACAAGGATCACACCAACTTCACGGACCTGGACCATGACGTTGAGATTGTCGGGTACGGCGTCGACGTGGCAACAGGTCTTAAGTTTTGGCACGCGCGCAACTCGTGGGGCACGTATGTACCAATATACCACAAGCGTTCTCACCCAACGGTGCAACTATGTAGCTACTGGGGCGAGAACGGTTTTTTCAAAATCGTGCGTGGCATTAACAACCTCGGCATCGAAGCCGACTGCTCGTACGCCGTGCCGGACATTGCGATGGAAGACCTCGTCTGGCGCCGCAATGCAACATATGGCGGGTCTATCTACGGGCTCCGGCAATTTTCGTCGACGAGCACAGCAGACACATTGCTGGTCCGCGACTCGACTGACGACATCACGGTCAATGCATCGCGCTTGGCCGCGTCAGGCTCGGCAGCGACGCCATCTTCGATGATGTCACTGTCACCTCTTCAACTTTACTGTGTGCTCTTCGCCACCACGCTGCTCGCCGGTGTTCTCCTCGGCCGTATCTCAACCCGAGGTCGTAAACAAGATTATGTGCCGCTAGCGTGATCATCAAGTTGATAATGACAGCGCCACACCGAGTATATGATTGCTTCCACAAGCTTAAGCCAAGCTGCCCATCGGGTCCCACGCGGGCAAAACGATGGGGTCGTTGGCCTCGAGAAGCGCAAGATGCTCAGGCGTCAGCGACGCCTTGTCAACGACGACCTGGTACATGTGCTCGTCGAACCAGTCGGCCGTCATGACATCGTAGCCGCTGTCACCGCGCTCCGTGCCCCAGCTATTCTCCACACGCCACTTGTCAGGCTTCTCCTCGTCAGGCTTGACGTTGTAGCCCGTGAAGACCATCGCATGCGTCATCTCGCTTTCCTTGTGACGGAGGCGGCCGGCCTTATCCTGGCCGAGCGTCGTGCCGAAAGCCAAGTCAAAGTCGTAGAGCTTCGTGCTCATGATGCCGAGCTTCTTCAAGCTGCTGGCTTTGCCGACATCGCAGCCAAACCACACGGGGAGGTCGTTATCGATTGTGGTCTTGGCGTACTTCCAGAGGGCATCGATGGGCGTGTTGATGTAGAATACACGCTTGCCGCCGACAACGTTGCCGAGCTTGTCGACCGTCATCGTAATGTCATAGTCGTGGCGTGGGTCGTTGACAATGCTGACCATTTCAGACACCTTCACGGGCACGTGCTCGGCGTAGAACGCTTGCGGCGTCAAGTCGGGGAAGTACACGTGCTTCTTCTCCTTGTCCTGGACGCTGAAGTCAAACTTGGTCGGCGGCGTGCCCAAGTGGATGATCAAGATGCGATGGATGACTTGCATCATCTCGGCCTTGCGCGCGCGGATCGACTCGATCTCGATGCCGGACGCGTGGAGCGAACGCAGCTCCTCGGCGAACTCGCGCAACTTGGACTTGAGAAAGACGTTGAGGTGCGCCGAGAGCTCCGACGAGATGAACTCGCCGTAGACGTTCTTAGGGACGACGCCGTACTTCTCGACGACGTTGACAATCATCTCCCACTGGCCACCTACGCAAACAACTCTTCAACACCGAGGTTTGCTGTCGATGGGAGACGAACCATCGCACGTCGGGTCCGTGAGGATGTACTGCACAAGACGCGAGTCAACGGGCTCATCCGCCGTCGCAATGACGTTTTCAAGGCACCAGTTGCACTTCTCGAGCTTGTCCTACTCCAAGATATCGTTTGAGCGCTGGGCCTTTCCTGTATATGGAACACGGACAACAATACCCAGAAGAAGAGGTACGTTTGCGAGAGCTCGAAGTCCGGGTCAAGGTTGTACTTCTTCTGAAGCGCGCGGCGCATGAGCGTCGAGCAGGCAAACAACCAGCAACGCCCCGAGCTTTTTTGGTTGCAGATCTTGGCATCGGGAAGGCGCTTGGAGAAGACGTGGTTGAGCGACTGGACGTGGCTGCGGTCCATGAGCGCCGGGCCCCACTCTGTGGACGTGACCGTATTGCGCGCGAGCTTGAAGCGCGGCTCGGCCTCAAAGGCCTCGAAGGATTCGTTTAGAAACTCGTGGGTAAGTTCGGCCGCCATGGCAAATTGGATTGTGATGGTTTTGAAAGATTTAAAATCTTAATTGCCCCAGACAAGTATGTCACGGCGTATGATAGGCTGGAAAGAGTGGGTTTACGAGACAACAGGTACGCAGTAGGGCATTTCAAGCCATGTCGCATAAAGTGCACATCCTCTTTCCCTCGAGCACCCAAGACGCTGCAGTCAGTACATGGTCTTTGGATATGAATCACATATCTCGGGTACAAAGGGGGGTCCGCGGGGCACCCAAAAAACGCCACCCATCTTTCCCAGTGTATCCACTTGCGCCAGAGTCGATTGTTGGCCACACAAGCTCGCAAAACAAAGCAGCGAAGGCGGTTTCTATGATGCTCGCCTCGCTGCCGGGTTGGACCTTCGTCACACTGCAACATGGATCCTCCCGTCTCCGGCGACCGTTCTGGTTGAAGTTGGGACTTCTGATAACAAGAGCTTGTTCCGAGGCTATTTCCAAGTCGGACCGGCGCTCGTCGGCGGACGCGTTGGCAGCTGCTCGCCCGCGGGAAGCACGTGGCTGTTGTCAATGAACGTCGTCTCGCACTCTTCCTCGGGCACGTACACGTGGCCCGCGTCGCTCTCGGCCTCGAGCACGTCCGCGTCGTTGGTAAAAAGGACACTCGTCGCCATGTCCGGCACGTGAGTCTTGCGCCGGCTCGTCGCGCCATGGCTCGCGCGTCGTCGCTACCCGAACAATCATCAACAACAATCTCGACAAAGTACATTGCGCACGAGGTCGGAGTCCGTGCACTCTTGGGCCTTCCGCAACACGCCGTGGTATATAAGCACGTCGTCTATCATGACCTCAAACTCGCGCACCTACAGGATATCGTCGTTTTGAGGCATAGCACGGAAGAAGCTCGCACCCCGCGGGATGGAGTCTTGCTGTAGTTCCAGAGCATGAGCTTGGAAAGCACGATGGGCTCGTCAAAGAAGATAAAGATCTTGACGCTCTCGGACGAATAGTTGAACGGCGTGAGCCACATGTGGCAGTCGTCATACGTGTTGTTGATGCCGTCGTAGAGCTTATCGAGCGTGCGCACGTCGGCGTCCTTGCTCTCGGGAAGAACATTGATGTCGCGAGGCACGGCCTGAATCTGGTCCTCGCCAATTGACACGGCCATATTTTGCGCATCGTAGAGAGCTAGGCCGTTGAGGCCAACGTAAAACGGGTCGCCCCACGTCGACATGATGACGATCTTGACGATGCAGCCGCATGGAAAAAGCGGCGTGTGGTACTGCTGACATAGCAGCGTTTCGTCGATCTTGGGCATCGCGCTCTATGAGTCTAGCATCAAGCATCGCATTTCGGTGACGTTGCATACACTGGCGGTTTTGGATTCGGGCGTCTCATGACGTGGCGCCACCGCACGTTGGCTGCTCATGCGCTTGGGGTCGGCTGTCGGTGGCGGCGTGTGCGCGAACGGCTCAGTCTGGAAAAAGTCGCCGCCAATTGATCGTGTGAGCACGGTGGAGGACGCGTGGTGCGCCGACTTGGGCTGTACAAACTGGCCAAAGTCGAAATTTGAGTTGCCTACGGCGCTCGAGTTAGCGGCTCAAAACGTATTTGCATCTATTTACCAGGAGCCTTTCGAATCAAGAAACCTTCGGGCGGGGACATCCAGTCACCATCCATCATAATAGCCAGACGCTTGACACCTGCGTGTCTTGAGACTCGATGCAACTTTAGGGGATGCATACCTTTGTACGAGTCCTCGAGCGATGCGTTGTAATTCCAAATCTTGAGAGCTCCGACAGAGATGCGCAGGCCAAAGTTGATCACAATCAACGGCTCTGTCGCGAGGGGCGTAAGCCACATGTCGTCAGCGTCAATCGAGATGTTGTTGCGCGAAATAAGCACGAGCACGCTCGGTGGGAGGAGGCAGTTCGCATCGATCGGGATCGGGTCGAAATTGTCGTCGAGAATCTCGAGGCCTGTGAGCCCCACTTCCGCGGGGTCACCCCAATTGCCTTTGATGAAGAGTTTGATCTCTTGACACGTGACAGGACGATCTGCGCCTTGCTCCCGCGCAATCGGGGCTGTACGGGGCCGAAATGGTGAGAGCGCTGGCGCCGGGGCAAACGTGCGCACCTATCATCGACGCCATTCGTCCAGAGTTCCCAGTTGCAGTCGTGTCGCACCCCGGATGACGGCTCGCACAGTCCACTTGTGCTTGTTGGCATCGCGAGCACATCCTTTTGTCGCCCCCGTTTGTCTAATTGCAATGCATAAGTCCATCGCGAGTCGGGGAAGAATACGACCGCCGGTCTTGGGGCGTTCGGCGGGAATATCTTGCTCCCACCAGCTCAGATGGCGTTTCTCGGGTCCCTCCGTTGCGGGTGCCAGCGTTCGGGGCGTCGCTTCGACTTCCTTCTGCTCGTATTTTTCAATTACTTGGAGGATGGAAGGATTCCGCGTAAAAAGAATGCACTCGCAGCACGCCTCCTACGCCATTAAGAAAACATTTAGTCTCACATGCGGAAATCGCGATCGACCATCGAGTCGACGGCGCCGACTGCGCGTTTGATGTCGCCCTTGAAGATAAAGCGGCCATCAACGGAGATTTCCATGTAGCGTGCGCCTCGGTACGAGTGGATGCGTGTTGTGTTGTAGTTCCAGATGCGCATCATCGCAATCGAGACCGGGTAGTCGAAGTCCATGTAGATGTAGTGATTTTGTCCTGTGTTTTGCTGTTGCAGTGATCCACCAAACAGATAATACACACACACCGCGCTCAAAAGGGGCAAGCCAAGCATGGAGCTCGTCACACGTGTAGTTGTGGCCGTCCACGATCTTGTCAATTGTGCGGGGGTCCTGCGTCGTTGGCGAATTGACGTTCAAGTCCGCTGGGTCAGCCGACAGTTGCTTGTCTACGTCCTACGTCCGCAATGCAATGATACGACAGCGGCGTTAATGAAACCAGACCGAAAGGCGGACAAGGTGGCCAGTGTGGTCGAATATCTAGGACAGCACTCTATCAGAGTGCTTCAATGGAAACGGCACCTCGATGCCCATGAGGCCGACTGGGCACCACGGAGGCAGCACGTCATGAGCACCCAAAACACACTTGAAAAGAGGGCAGTACCGTAGTAAGGGTCGCCCCTACGTCCAAGGATGAGTTATGCGAAGCATCCAGAAGCCGCCACTGCACCAGGTGGAGAGAATATTAAAGACACAACGCTGGCCTCGCGGCAGCTCGGGGATGTCGAAGCAAGCCGATGGGCCGCCGAAGACCCGGCCCGTTGGCGTCTCAATTGGCTCCATCTTGCGCCCGAACGGCTTCCACTCGTCGTCGTCGATGCTCAAGCTGTCGAAGCTGTCGTCGAGCCCATCAATATTGACAAAGTGAACATTGCCTACATGAATGCCGAGAATACACCTTCTGTGCGGAGAGGGGCATCGTACCCTCAGGGTCCACAACCGTCTGCATGATTGCGTGCTTGTGGCCAAGCTCGCGACCGAGGTTCGTGCGCCCAAACGACTCGAGTGACTTGAGCGACTCGGTCAGAGACTGCTTGATCTTGCTGTTGTGCGCGACAGTATAAATGCACGCCAAGGTATCGAGTACGTACCGCTTGAAGCTTGTCATACGCTTGGCACGTGGTCGAATTTCGGGATCTGCAGTCTGTTTGGGCAGCGGAAGGATCGGGGCACGCGGGCGCACGGACGACGCGAGCGTATCGTCGCCATGCGTCGTGCGCGACGGGAAGGACGATGCTTTCGGTGCATGGTGCTCGTCGCTGTTGATCCACGTGGGTACCGACTGGGGACGAATCGAAATTTCGAGCTTGGCGAGCGAGTCGAGCATCGGCGGCAGCTCCTCGTCGTCCATAGGAGCAGTGCGTTTCGCCTATTTAGTCGGACCTTCGAAAGATACCAACGCGATCACCGTCAATATCTAGAACCGCCACCATCTCGACCAGCACCAACCCAATCACGAATAATTTCCTTAAGGGTACACTCGACTCGTACAGCAAAAACACTGCAACGGTGTTGGCTAAGCTTACATGAGCACGCATCGGGAAGTCCATGGAGCCGATGCAACCTCGGCGCTGCTGCCGTCCTCGTCGCTTTCGGTATCGCTCTAGAGGCACGCCATGGGACGAGAACACACGAACATCTCTCGACGTACGTGCTTGAGACGCTTCGTGGTTGCAAGCTCGATAATGGACCGCCGCCGCTTTCTAGACAGGGTGGCCGGCGATTGCAGTGGCGACGAGTAAGTGTACGCGAGGCGCTCAAGGGCTCTTGGTCGTGCGCTGATTGTCGGAAGAGCTTCTGTGCGCTTCAGCAAAGCAAGTGTTGTCATGTAACGGTGAATCGCAGCGTACTCGCGCTTGGTACTCGCAACGAATGCGTCGAGGAGCGGCCTCATCTCTGGTGACGAATGCACGCGGCGCATGTACATTGCCATACGCACGCAGTCGCGAAAGAGGGGTGCGCCCTTCGCGTACTCCCCCACGAGGCAGAGCTCGCGGGCCGTGGCGATGCTCTGCGCTAGATCTGCGACTTGGTCCATCTTGACGATTGACTTGGTTTGCAAAACCGCCAATATGCTGGTTTGGCGGCTTATCTCAAGATGGACGGAACATGAGTTTGTCATATCATGTGGTCATTTGTTTGCTTTCCTGCCATCAAGAGGAATTGCATACAACGAATGACGTCCAATTACAAGCGTTCGCCGCAGTTATGTCGCTATTGGCATTTTTTGCTCGAGCGTTTCTCACCGGCACTACCTTTCGCAAAGAGCTCCATGCGCTGCTTTTGCGCGTGCCGGACGGACGACGCCGAGAAGGGTACCACAATGTCCCGAGATGGCCTTTGCAGCGCCTCATCTGTGACGTGCACAGTGTTTTGGCACGAGAGGCAGCGCACGGGCATCGAACTGAGCAGCGGCGCATCATGGTTCTCGCTCGATCGCGTCTGGAGCGTAGCAAGGCGCTTGTTGACAAATCTAGAGAGCGCCGTTTGAAAACAGCACAAGCGGATCCGCGCACCGCTGAATCTGGGCAACGTCGGGCTTGAGACGCACGCACGACGCGAGTTCGTTGACGTCGTCGACCGAGGCGGTCGACTGTGCGAGGCGACTAATCTCTACACGTGCGTGCGTGTGAGCAATGACGACGCAATGTGCTCAAACCGTCTTGCAGAGCTTGATTCGCGCGTGAGAGCTCTTGGCGGTCGGGTTTGGACCCAAGCCGAGTTACAAGCGACGACATCTATCGGGTAGCGTTGCAGCGTGTCGAAGCATGCTCCATCCAACCTCGTGCTCGATAGATTCTTCGCGCTCGGCTGCTAGGTCACCGACTTCGCGAATCGCTAGCTCTAGCTGCTCGCGCACTTGCGTCCGCTCGGCGTTAAGCTGATTCACGACGCTCTTGAGATCGTCTTCGATGATCATCGTCTACGGGGATGTGTGTGGAGTGGCACTAAGCCTGGTGTTGGTGTACCTGAGTGTTGTTGACGACGTAGTCGAGCTTGATGCCGATAGCCTTGATCACTGTTTGGAGTTGTTCCAAAGCGGTGAGCGCCGTCGCGTGCTCGGATGCGGTTGCACGCAGCTCTAGGCTCAAGGGTTTAGGTCGTTTGCATCCGCAGCAGACACACCTTTGTCTACTTTGTCGTGAGTCGCAAACGTGACTTGAATGCCTTGCATCCGCACATGCACAGGAGCGATGGAGACGTAGGCTTGGGCTTGCAGAAGCAACTCTTGGGCAACGCGAGTCAACGCGGGCTCTTTGCCGGACTCGTTGAGGCCGTGAAAGATCGCGTGCAGCGCTGGTAGTATTCCATGCACATGTCGCTCCATGTCCTTGTCCTTGGCATCGTCAATACCTACGGTCTCTCACTACAACACATCGGAAACAACTGCGCTATACCTCGCATGCCACCGTCAAGTTTGACTATGGCTTCGTCGATAGGTGACCCAGGATGCACTTGGCTCCAAGCACTCAACTTGTGGTGAAGCCCTGAAATATCGTGGCGCAATTTAGCCGCTAGCACTGTTCCTTTGTTGGTATTGCGCGTGATATCACGCAATGTACCGTGGACACCCGAGAGCAAGTTGGTGTTGGCATCCAAGTCACTCCCCAACGTGAGGTGCAGTGCGTCACCGAGAAAATGAACGAGCCGATAGAGTCGTTGCGCCGTACTTTGCGACGACTCGGCGACCGCGTCGACACCGCCCTTAAGCTCCACAGCCTTTTTTCGGAGCTCTTCTGTTGCGCGCTCGACCTCGCGCTCCAAGGCATGTAAAAGCCGATCCTGGGCGGCTGTCAGTGATTGGAAGCTCTTGTCACTAGATTTGCAGTGCTCTTCAACGGTTCTTGTGAGCGGGTCGAGCTTGGCAATTGCGAGCTCTAAATACACAGCACATTGACTCCCAGGGTTACTGCATTGAACGAACCGAGACGGATAACAGCTTCCTGTACAGGAACGAATGTCTCCATCGACACCATCGGCACTTCAGGCTCGTCATCGTCGACTGTCGGCAGCTCCAACGTAGCACCGGTACCCAAAGCACTATCAATGATATTCTGTAGTAAGAACAGCAAGATCATGTAGGCAACGCACGCGAGTTTGGCGTCGACGTCGCTCATTTGATCGAGTTGCGTTTTTTGGAGCTGAAGCTGGGCCTGCTGGAGCATCCCGAGCGCTGCCTGCTGACTCTTGACCGTCGTTTGCAGCGTCTCGACGAGTCGATGGAGGTCCTGCACGACAATCGTGTTGGCCTCGACCTTGCTGACCTCGGTCTGCATCGTCTCGAGCGCCGCCTCCACGTTTCGGACCCGACATGCCACCGTGGGCTGCGCGGTCGATGTCAGGAGCTTGTTGGCGCCCGCCAAACCCTAGACACACATTTTTATATAGGCTTCTCTACTCAAAGCAATAGTACGTGAATACGCATCATGGCGACGACATGGCAGATGGCCCAGCGCCAAAGCACTCGGTAATACGCTGGGTTTTTGGGGTCTTCTGAGATGCTATCCGAATATGGCTTCTCTGATGCGGTCTCGTAGCCGCTGCTTGGCGGCGCAGCACCAATCGCTTCAAGGTCCCTTGACACAGAGTCCTCGCGGATCATGCTCTGGATGAGGTTGCCATGGGAAAGACGCTCACTCATACTCAGCCGTCGTCCTAACGGAGGGCGGACAAAACCTTGCGGCGTTGCTTCAATAGCGTTGGGCTCGAGAGAAGGCACCGTCTCGATCGACCCAGAGCTCTCTTTCAAAGCCTCAGTCGAAGGCTCGCCACCCCCCTGGGCGATTGAATCTGGACCGGTTGTCCGACTGGACTCGGAAGTAGACGCTGGTTTGTCGACGAGTGTTCTGGGACTCTCAGCTTCGCTTTGGGTGGCGACTGTATCGGCAATCGCTGCTGGGACCGGTGGGGGTGGGGCCTCGCTCTCAATATCTGTTTCTTGATATTCCGGATTTTCTTCGGTCGATAATGCCACTGACGGTGCCTCCGCATTCGCGACCGGCTTTGTGTTTGGAACAAGGACCGCTGTCGCACCCGTGGAAGGCTCAGTCGGCGGCACACTGTCTTTGCCGACCGATACGACATTATGGACAAGTGCTTCATACCCTGAGACGGTCGCTGCGCGGAGCTTTGATGCGCCGGAGCGGTTGGATCCTGGCGTCGATGCCCTCGTCGAGATATCACCGCCGAGGGGTCGCAGCACGTTCTCGGCGGCACTGGATGGTCGCGAGGCGTCGTTGTTGCTGCGAATGCTACTACGGTCCGTCCGTAAAATGGTATCCACGTGGGTTGGCAGCGCAATGCGCGGTAGCGGGTCACTCGAGAGGGTCCCGCGCTGCGGCTTGCTGAGCACGGACGCGATGACATCGAGCTTGGAGTCGAGCGAAACAGGAGCGATGCCGCCGTCTACAGACCCAGAGCGTGATTCAAGCGAGGTCAACGCAAACGTTTTTGATTACTCTCGTCGTGGCCTTCGTCATTGATGGATTTGGAGAGCATTGTGATACCGTAGCGCATGTCGACAGACGCCTTCTCCTGCTTCTCGAGGCGTTTGATGACGTCCTTCTGCTCCATCTTGACCTTGGAAATGAACTCAAACTTTTTGTCAAGCTCGACAAGTTGGTCTTCGTGCGAGTTCCGCGCGTCCTCAAGGTCGTCTTGGAGGGCTTCAATCGCCCGATCCTTCTCGACGTTCTCGCGCTTGAGGCTCTCGATCTCAGCCGAGAGAGCCTCCATGGAGCGCTCGAGGCTCTGCATCGTTTTCTTGGCCTCGTTGACGTAGTCCATCGTGTCGCGGACTTTAAGGCGCAGTGCTTGGATCTCATTCGCGCTCACCTTTTGGCGCGCCTCGTCCTCGGCGCGAACGATCGAGCTCGACATGGCCGAGACGCAGCGGTAGAGCGATGCCTCCTGCACCGCGAACGCAGTCCCGAGCTCGGGCATGAGCTCCTCGAGCGTTCGTGTTCCCATCGCAAAGTCAACTGATTGAAACCGACACGGAACCCCCGCCCAGACAAATCCCATGCGCTTCAATCGCAAGAAATTAATATTCTAGTAAACGCTGTTGTATGCTCAGAGCTTGGCGAGGCCCGGGATCTCGGCGAGGAGGTCTGCAATGTCCATCGACTTGGGACCGCCCAGCGGCACCTTGCGGAAGGTCGCGAGGCGCCGCGCCAGCACGTCGAGTTCCTTGCCCTAGTCGCGATCAGTACCACGCATCGTGTCATATGAATGTACGTCGTGGTAGCGCGCCGTGAGGAGAACGAGGGTCCGCGGCGTGGCCCCGCGAGTCTTGGCGGGCTCTTGGACCATGTGCACGACGCTCCAGCGCTCGAGGATCGCGAGTGCGTTCTGGAGCGTCTCGAGCGAGCACGCCTCATAGTGCGCAATGATGCGTTCGTGGTACATCTAATGTACGTCACCCTCGGAAAACGACGCATCACGCGATACCGTCTCGGCGAGCCACTGCATGCGGCGTACGAGGTCGCTCGGCGACATACCGTCGCCCGACTTGAGCACGAGCAAACTCGCGACCGCGACCCAGTAGCTAGTATGTGCGGATGACGACTCGTTATCAATCGACGGCGCACCTGTCGATGAAGGGCCAAATCGCCGCACACAAGAGCGTTTGAATCGACTGGCTCGTCGGCGTCGGCGTCATCGTGTGGACCCTACAGCGCGATTGAGCCGAAAACAACATTATATGTCTAACGTACGTCGACGCAAAGATACCGCGCTCTTCCATGCCAGCGAGTGTCTTTTCGAGGGTAGCTCGGCCGTCCGCGTAGTACTTGGAGACAAACTCGATCGAGAGCATTTCATGCAAGAAGACGGCGCTGTCGAGCAGTTCTTTGGTGGGCACGCCCTGCGCATTGTGCAGCGGTTGTGTTGGGCGCGCAGGTAAACATACCTCGCTGCTGCCGTTGGCGGCGAGCGCTTGGTAGGCGCAGGCCAAAACGCCTTCTTCGTTGAACCAGTGAAGTACCTTGTTGCGGTAGTAGCCGAGCCCAATCATGTTTTGGTACTGGTCGCGCTACACAGAGACATCAAGAACGCGTCGATCGTCCATCGACCGTACGTTGGTGATGGCAGGCTCGACGAGGTCCTTCCGGCGCCAAACGACAAACTCTTCCAGCAGCGCCAGCGCCCTACGCCCAATAGAATTAGAGTCGTCACCAAAGCAAAACGACGCACCGCTCGACAATGGCGACGCGGCTGCGACCTTGGCAGCTCAGCACTCTGCCGCCACGCTGCACGACCTGCGACCGGAGCCAATCGGTTTGGGCCACGAGCTGCTCCCTACGCATCCCATGTTTTAGAGTCGAGTGCGAACGACCTGTGCACTGACTTGGAGATGCCGTTGCGGAAGAGGAGGAGGATCGTTGCGACGAGGTGCGTCGGCGTGCACGTGGCTTTTTGCACGAGCGACTCGGTCACTGCGTACGCGAGGTCCGTCACGAGCGAGATCGGTTCGTTCGTCACCGAGTCACGGACGTCGGCTTTGGCGTGGGCGGCCACAAACTCCTTGACGTGGATCGCGGGCGCAAACTGCACCGAGATCGACCCAAAGTCCTTGCGCAAGACATGCGCCGACTTGAGGAGCGCGCCGAGCGACTACGACATCGGATTGCAAAATGAGGGCGTACGAGCAAAAAGTACCTCCTTGATCTTGCCTTCACCGAGCATCTCCTTCTGGTGCACGCCAAGCTCCACGGGCTTGTCATAGTCGATGGTGACAGGCACGATATGAATCTACAGCAACAGACCTCAGCCCATGGACTCAGATGAGGAACGAGCGACGAACGTTCTTGACGCGGCCCGATTCAAAGCTCTTGACGATCGTCGAGAGCATGCCAAACTGAGGGCGCAGTTGCTTGCCGCTGCGGCTGCGCGTGCCCTCGAGGAAGAACTCGACCGTGTGGCCCTTCCCGAGCAAGTACTAGACAAGCATAAGTGTCGATATTTCTTGTCGAGAGCTACCTGCGTGTACTCGGTAAAGATGGCCGAGTACAATGGGTCGTTCTTGAAGGACCGGCGGATAAAGAACGCGCCACCCTTGCGCAGCAGGTCCGAGATCGCACTACGCACAGCGCGTCAAGGACGGCGAGACACGCGTACGTGCATACCCCATATTGAGAAAGTCTTCGCCCGCGAGCACAAACGGGATCGGGATGTTGTACGCAAAGAAGAGGTACGTCATCATGAGAAAGTCCATGTACGAGCGGTGCGTCGGGATGAGTACGAGCGGACCTTCGCGGACCTTGACGAGGTTGCGGATCGCCTCAAGGCCGGCTTCGTCTACCACGATCTTGTCGTACATGTGACGCCACACCTGCGACGCCATCATTGGGCGATCTGTCTATATGGAAATGGAGAGAGAAACCTTGCGGAGGAGCCAGCCCGCCTTGCGCGCGGCCGAGTAGTCAATGTTGGACGCCATGCGGTTCAGAATCGAGAGCGCCTCGGCCTCGATCTCGTGCCGAGAAAGCTTCGGGTTGGCTGCCGCCTTGGCCGCGACGGCCTCGCGCACCGAAGACGACTCGAGGATCACATTGCGGATGGACGCGATCGAGTCGGCGGGTACGCGCGGTACGTGGCTCGCCTCGTGATGCATGCCCTCGCGCCAGCCTGC